TCCTACCGGGCCTCTACCCCCCAGCTCATACAGCTCTGGTGCTATATTTTTCTTGTCTATCTCATTCAGAATTGGGGTTAGAATATTCCATGCAGCTGCGAGCTCATCGCTTCTCAGAAACAGATGGTTGTCTCCATTAATGACATCAAGAAGGAGATGTTCATACGAATCAGGCACCTCTACATTGTACCTGCCATAGTAACGCAAACAAGCACTTTTAAGTCATATAAAAATTGTGTACTGGAGTAAACCTGGCAATGCTATGCTAGAGTGCTTACTTATCCTTATAAAGTAAATTCAGCTCCGGAGAATCCAACTTGAACCCCAATCCTGGAATCTTATTGTTAACTCTGACTAGGATGGCTTCATCAGGTGTATCACGCAGAATCAGTTCATTGGTAGCGAGGTCGATGTTGTGCCCCATACGCTCACGATAAAGGTTTCCTGGGACACGATGAAACTGTATGCGTATCTCCACCCTGCATTGTACAATTTGTACTCGGTAAGAAGATTCTAAGTTGTCAAACTATATTCTAGCTTAAATGTTTGACTAATATAATGAATTTTCCCCACAAAGTAGTACTAAAATGTATGTAACCTATGTTGGATGAGTCCCATGCCAGCTTTGATCAGGAACGGCACACCATCCCAGCGTGCGTTGTCAATGTACAATGCAGCAGCGAAATATGTGGGGGTCAGGCTGTTCATAAATAGATCAACCTTATCTCTAGTACTCCCTTTATATTGGCCAAGTATAACATCGCTGGGCTCCAATTTCCGGACTGATCTCAGAAGTTTGGCCTGAAAATAAGCTTGTCATAAAAACAACTATAGGCACTCCGTAGGAGTATAACATGCAGGCATACCTTTTCATTTCGTATATCTTCCCCATCTAGACTTATTGGTGTTTCCATGGCAAGCAATGCTATTGTTTGAAGTATATGACTGTGTACTATGTCACGAATGATCCCGTAACCATCAAAGTACCTTCACAAAAGGAAAAGAAAATAAGTTATCATGGCAGTTCTTTCTCAGGTTTCACTGTATGTACTCTAAAAGCAAGGATACAGCCAACAGGATTACCTTCCTGCTTGGACACCCAAGTCTTCTGATAAAATGACCTGCAACACAACTCAAGTGTTTTACATAAAATATATATACATATGAATATGTACATGCTACATATATTTCATTAGATGAAAAAAAGAAAAGAAAGATTACTTACCTGGACATTGCGTATATATGTACGGCTCCACAGTGGCTCAAATACTAGATTAGCAAATCTTAAAACGGTGAGATTTTCAATAAGGTTCCTTCCTAGAAGATGATCAATCCTGAAATAAGAGACTGTCAATACATGAATGGATGATGTCAATCTTCTGTTTGATATGTGTAGAAAGTATAAACAGGAGACCTGTATATTTGTTTCTCTTCAAACTTAGAACGCAGAGACTGCGTCAACCGATGAGATGATAATACATCAAAGCCAAAAGGTTTCTCAATGATTACACGATTCCAGCCCTTCAGGGTTTGGGCATTATCAGCGAGAGAACATGCAACATTTATAAGTGCTTCTTGTGGCACAGAAAGGTAAAATATCCTGTTCGCTTCAGATTTTCCCTGAGGTAGGTTAGCTGTTACAGAATCAATTATCAAAAGCATCCAGCTAGTAATTTTGAAAGGCAAATAAGTGCTATTTAAGACAGAAAATATTTTCTTAATATCTGTGCATTCATTTTACCTCAAACTGCTTCATCAGCACATTGAGTTTTGACATCCCTTCTCTGTTGTCATAACCTCCATTAATGTAGTGTGTTCTACTAAGGAAAACATCCATTTTGTCTCCACAGTTTTCTCTGAGAGGTATTTGTATGTCCAATGGTTAACTTAAAATGCAGACATCTTTAGGCCCTTTGAAAACAGATGCTATTACATACAACAAAAAATAAAAAACTAGAAGACATATCATGGAATATAAGGTGACACAAGAAGCATACTGATGGTCAACACGACAAGTCAAAGTTGAAGCGATCATGGATCTCAGATCTTCATCTGTCATATTCTTTCTTGAATAACCAAAGATACTTACATTCTGCAGTCAAAAAGTAAAACAATGAAAGAAGGAAACACCTTTTTACTCAATGAAATGTAGAACAACTTTGTATAACTTGGTTCTTGGCCATACAGGATCTTCATTGTACATGCTAGAACCTTATTAATCATGGATTGATGATAGTGTCACAACAGAAATGCCCATAAAAATCTGGCTGGACAACGATAGCAAAGTCATCCTACCTCAGGAAGAAAGCCACTGTAATACAGCGCAAAAAGCGCTGGAAAAATCTTTCTCCTAGCTAGCTCACCAGTTGCTCCTATGACCGCAATGCAGAGTGAGGGTTCTTCACCACACTCAACGAGAAACTTGGAGGAATGTGTTTGTGGCATGGAAGGAGATTCCACTGAAGTAGTGGGCTCTGTTACAGAAGCATGTGGTTGGGAACTTGGCAATGAACTTTCTTCAAGTTCTGAAGTTATTTTCGAAGTTTGATCATTGGAGTCTGCAGATACATCATCTAGAACATGTAAAGACTTCACCATGAGGAAAAGGAGAACAGTAATTGTAAAACACCCCTTTTTTTTTATTACTAACCATCAACCAATTTTAAAGTTGATGTGATATACCTTCATGTGATAAAGTCGAACCAGATTGATCTGTTGAGTGATCTTTGAATTGATTTTTAATACTCTTATACTCATTTGTAGGTCCAAGTTTTCTCTGATGCTGACGGTGTAAGTTCTCAAGTATCCATTGTTTTAAGCCACAAAATTTTCGGCACAAATGGAGAGGTCCTCCATGAAGCACAACTCGTCCACCCGACCCAGAACGGAAGTAGTTTGCTGGAGCCTACAAACAACCCAAAAAAGAAAGAATTTTTCCTTAATTAGTACAGATGACAACTAGCCCTGATGGAGCTGATAAAGCGACAATAGTATGCCCCCATCCCGAATCCCTGCCCATTCCCACTTGTGGGATGAGCTTGGATGAGCTAGAAATAGTCAATGACACTGAATGAATCAATTAAACACCAATACACACATTTTTATTGGTAATGAAAATTATACCCAATTTCATCTCACCCCAAAATCCCTCTTTTCACTCTCTTATTCCCTCTAGAATCTAATTAGACAAAAAATGAGAGAAAGAGGAAGATGGATAAAAATGTCATAACCTCAAAGCCTGAAGTTCAAACCATCTTGACCTTACTCTATCTTCCTCACAGACCTGCCCCCCAAATTCAGCACTTTGGATTTTAGGAGTTTAAGACAAGTTAACTAACAAGACCTCACTCATGGTGCATAGACTCAAAATCTCATCACCCCACATCTATAATTAATTAGAACCCATTTACAAAAGTCCTCCTTTTCCCCTATCTCAGTTATAGCTTCAGCTTGGTTGTCCAAAAAAACCACAAGACAAAGCAAAGCAAAGCAAAAGAAAAACAAATTTGATCATTTCCATTTTTCCTTTTTCAGTCTAAAAGATCCAAAATTTTCACTGCTTCTCGCCCATTTTCCCAGAAACCAAACACCCCATTTCACCAAATACTACACTAAACACTATGCATCACTACACAAAGATAAAAGTACAAATGAATATACATATTTGATAGTTGAGAGCTCACCCCAAAAGAGAACTGGTAAGCACTGGAGCAGAGATAGCTTGGCCTTGAAACTGAGGATGGTACAGATACAGCTGAAAATGACATCGACATCCTTTTGATCTGTTTACGAGCTGGGGCTCTACATTCTTTTGATGTTCTGTGACTGTGAACTCTCATTGAAGAGTACAGAGGACGATTGCAACCAAAGGTTTGTGGTTTTGGGTGCACCCGACAAAACTATCATTGACCCCGTGAGATTAATCGATCGGTTGATAAGTTTTAAGGGGTTAAACCAGAAATGATTGGCCGGCGGGTGAGAAAATGGACGGTTGTGATGGGATGAGAGAGTGTTATTTAATCTTACAATCTTTAGATTTTGATCTGTACTACGTTATCATTGTGTCTAATGTCTTGGTACGTCATGTTCACGTACTTTTTATTTTTGTCGTTTCTTTAAAACCGGGGGCTTTGTCGGTTTGTTCTTATCCATTAAAAAAAAAACAGAAACAAAAACAACAACAACAGGGAATTTTTCATGGGCTTGGTATAAAACCTTGTTTGGTTATTTAGGTTGGATCGGATGTAGGTCTTTTTGAATGTCCGTGGCCCATTTGTACCCTACACTTTCTCATGGCTGCTATCATTTGTTCTCTAATTCCTTACAATTGACCAACTGACCAAGGGTAAGTTGGAATGTGGCAATCAAAGGAAAAAAAACACCGACCATTGATTTTACTCACCCAATATTTAGACTTTGCATAAACATGCCCTACATTAGTTCTTGTATAGAAAGTCTCACGCATAAAAACAAGTTTACACAATAAACTCTTACAATCGTCTTTCATATATTCGTCACGTGATTAGTTATCACAATCGGTGAGATATTCATTTATATAAGTTCTTTTTTATGGATGGTTGAGCTACAAATACTATGATGCATTTATTGCGTTAAAACAATTTTTTTTCTTTTCAAAAAGGGAAGTGCTTAGTACAGTAATTAAAGTAGTTTGGTATAATCTGTGACAAACCCACATGTGATCATAGCAAAACTCAATGGAAAAGAAGGAATCTTTGGGTTTAGTAGCTAAATTATCTTTGGTAGGACCAAAACTCAAGCACAAACAATAGACGACAAATCATTGGATAATAAACAGAGAGAAACAAAGAAAAGAAAAAGAAAGTTCCTCACCTAAATTAAATGTACAGTTGCCAAATCCAATAAAGAATGTATGCAAATATGTGGTGCGTGCTATCCATCCAAAGTTCCTCATCCCCAATATTATATTTCAATTAACAATTATAAATCATCCATAAATCATGAATATATATACTCTGTTTTTTGTTGTTTGATAGTGACCCTCCACTAACACGTTCCTTGCATAACCTCCTCCCCTTCTCTCTCTTTCTCTTTATCTCTCTCTCTCTCTTATAATCAATCCACTTGGAATCTTTACCAGTTGTAAATAAATCATCTTGAGCAGATAAGACCGGTGGTTGAGGCTTGTGAAGATTTCAGGCAAGAAAAGCTCTTCTTTTTTCTTTCGATATAATTTTCAGAATCTTGCATGTTTTAATTCAAAGGCTTTGTTTTTCAAGGTAGATTTCTGGGTCTTTGACTTATATCATCATCTGGATGCCTCATCAGTCTGATTCCAATTCGCGTTTTGGTTTTACTTTTTTGGGTTCGGATGGCTTTGTTTAAATCCAGTGTTTCATCTGTGTGGTTTGTCTTGGGAGCTAAATTTTTGGAGGGTCTAATACAATCTGATATCCACTTTTATTTGATCTTCATGCACGGCAGGATACTGAGTTTTCAATTTATATCCAATTAAAAAAAATTATTGTTTGTCAGTTAGTTTAGTTTCTGCCTTCATACAGAGCCATTTTCTCTTCTTGGTGGTGACTGCTGACTCTGAGTTTCTGCCATGGGGATTTCTCAATTTTGCATTTGATGTGGTTTTTCGAATAAAAAATTGGTGTATGCAGTCTCATCCATAAAGATGCTTATCTAAAAGAAATGAAAACAAATGGGCTTCAGTCCTTTGATTGGTCTGACTGAACTTGATCGGCTCATCAAGTATTAAAATTGTAATTGCTAGACAGACAGTTGCTAATTGTTTATAGTTTAAGTGTTTCAACAGTATCCATTCATATAATTGTTTAGCTATTATATTATGGTATTAACTACTACTATGCTACGAGCATGATTTCAAGGAAGAGCATTGATATAATGAATCTGTTAAGAATCAGCTTTCGGATTTTAAAGTAACCAATGTGTTTCATAGATAAAAACTTTCCGTGGTGTAAACTCAGCAGGAGCTAAACCTAGACAGGTTGCTGATTGTATACCTAGACTTCTTTACTCTCTATGTACTTGTGTTTATGCCTCTGTATTTTTTTTCACTCATTTCTGGTTGTTTGATGCAGGTACTTAGATATTACTTCCGATTTGATGCTATAACACATTCCTCAATTAGATATTAATAGCTCATAAATGGGGTCTGAAGGGCCTTCAACAGTAACAATTCATGTGACCGGTTTTAAGAAATTCCATGGAGTTTCAGAGAATCCAACTGAGACTATTGTCAGTAATCTCAAAGAGTATGTGAAGAAGAAGGGTTCACCAAAGGGTCTGGTTCTTGGAAGTTGCAGCATTCTTGAGACTGCAGGACAAGGAGCAGTTGTTCCCCTATACCAGACATTGCGATCTGCTATCAGCGAGCAGGATTCTTCAAATTCCAGTAGAATTATTTGGGTGAGTTGTTCTCATGTCTGGTCCATCGCTTCTCATTTTCTAAGCTGGATCACACTTTATTTCAAGTTCCTTTCTTTCTGTCCTTAGAAGCTAGTCTGCCAAGCACATATAACTAGCTAGTAGACTTTAAAGACCCCTACATATCTAAGAATATCAGCATGGTTTGGGTTCAAAACTTGGGACTCAAATTCATTTCTCATTTCTCCTTTAAGCAATGTTCTTTTGATTTGTTCATATAGGAACTGGATACAGCTCAAAGAATTTATAGGAATTTGATTTCATGATTGGTTCTTTTCCATCTGGTTTTTCTATTATGAGAAAGAAATTTTTTCACTTAAAACTTTAGAAAATAGTCATTATCAACATCATCTATAGAGAAAAAGCTTGTGCACATATATTAAATATTTTACTAGAACTTTAATAAAAAACAGAACTTTCCATCACATCTGTTCAAGAGCATTTCATCGCTACAATAATAGTACTTGCGCAGGTGTATTCATGTGTCATGTGTCTTACCCTTTCTTAATTTTAACCGTAATTATGTAGGTACACTTTGGTGTTAATAGTGGTGCAACAAGGTTTGCTATTGAGCATCAAGCTGTCAATGAAGCTACTTTTCGTTGCCCTGATGAGATGGGATGGAAGCCTCAGGTTAGATAGAACTTGTAGGGGTTGTCTCTGGTGAATTGGGATTTTATTTGACATCAGCTTCGAAGTTCTTCAGATTTTGTTAACTTTTATCATATGTTTTGCAGAAAGTCCCCATTATTCCTTCAGATGGAGGAATTTCACATATACGAGAGGTAGGCTGGGTGGCCATGATTTTTTCATCATATGCTTCCTAAAGATTTCAAGTATTTTCTCTTGCACCTCATAAATCATTATAATTTTTTTTATGATTACTTGAAGAATACCTGCTTGAAGGACTGAAGTTGTCTTGAAAAATAGGTTGACTTTATACCTTAAATTTCTTTTCTCCATGATGGTTACATAACGGTTGATTCAGAGGTCTTATTTTGTATTTGAGTATCTGACTACAATGGTTCCTCATTTTCCTCAATCTTGAAACGATTTCTTCTTCTGATTATGTGCAGACTTCTCTTCCTGTTGAGGACATAACAAAGGCCTTGGCAAAGAAGGGTTTCGAGGTGATGACCTCAGATGATGCAGGCCGCTTTGTATGCAACTATGTCTACTACCATTCCCTTCGGTTTGCAGAGCAAAACGGGATCAAATCGCTCTTTGTTCATGTGCCTTTGTTCTTGACCATAGATGAGGACACACAAATGCAATTTGCTGCTTCCTTGTTAGAGGTGCTTACTTCATTAAATTAGCAGTCCATCATCATCCAACCACATCTGTATGCCAAAGAGCTTGATCGAAAAGCTAGTATGAAGTTGCCACGTTTATTAATGTGGATCAACGCTTCATAAATGGAAATGCTTGAATAATCAGGAAGTGTAATCAAAGCGAAACTGTATTGAAAGAACATTCTTAATTATGATGTATTTTTCCATAAGTGTTTTCCAGCAGGTTCCGGTAACTTGCCGAAATTTTTCAATCCAGTTTGTGAATGACATCCCAGTTTGCTCATGGAGCTTGCTAATACTTATGTTATGTGCATCTCTTTCAGTGTGATATTATTGGATTAAAAGAAGAAAAAAAAAGTACATAAGGTGAAGAAACTGAAATCAAATGAGTAGATTTGCCATATACAAAAAACAGGGGAGGATCCAAAACAGAGCAATAAAGTCAAAAGAGAGCAGAACAATTGCTTGAGTTCATAAGAAGAGTGGGAGAAAAACTTTCCTCTGTGGAGATAAGGTATGATGCACAATGAATGACTAACAAACCGCTACTATTTTCATAGTAATGGGTATGGCAATTACTTGGCACTCTGAGGTTGCATCTAGAATTGCCAAAAGTCAATGCTTTCTCTATCGAGAGATATATGTGATGTGGTCCTGTATGACCTATTATGCTAGATGTTATAATGGTGCTCTATGGTCCCCCATTAGATGGACCAATCTAAAAACATCACTCAGCGGAGAAAAAACTTGCATATTCCGATAGTATATATTGTTTAAGTATGTCTTTCTCTTTGTTTCATTTCTCGAAAATTTAAGAAATGACTTAAAAAGTTTTTGAAAGTCCGTCCCTCTTCATGTAACTTGTCAAAATTTCAACAAATGACTTAAGAATTTTTTAATGAGTAACATTCATCACTAGTAATGAGTAAAGCTCAATTTTTTGGGTATGTAACCAGATGCACGGCCTCGAAATTTATAAAATTCTATCTAAGAAAGTAAACTTTCAACTTTTGGTTTTGTCATTTTATTTTCTTGCTGAAGTCTTTTCAACCCAGTTTCACCATAAGTCCAATGTTCACTATAAACTAGTGGAGGCTGTTGCCTACCCAACCCCAGGCAGGCATATGCAGACATATGAATTATGACCATAAAGTTCTTTTGTAATTGTGGATGTACCTTTTTCTGGTCTACTGCTATGTTTATTAGTGATAGCTCACCGTTTTCTTTTGGCATTCACATAAATTGTTTTGCTTCGTAACATTGGCAAAATAGGATTGCAACTCCTAATATCCAAAATTTATTCATATAGGATTGTGATTCTTAACAAGGGAAAATTCAGACACATTGTCTTTTGATGAATGATGAATCGTCGAGAGTTACACTTTTGGCCTCTAAATTATTTGGTTGTCATGATTCTGTTGCTCTTTCCTTAATAAGCTCTGGTTGTTATTTCTAGTATAATAGTTTTGTTTCCGAATTATAATCTCGTCTGCATTATGCAGGGTATGCTCTGTGAAGGCTTGAAGGATTTGACCAAGCATGGGAAGCAAATTACAAAATCCAAATTTCCCTATTAATTGTTCAATTGAGGGGATGTCCAGAGGGAGATTACACGGATCCACTTCAATGAAGGAATATTGAACAATGACATCACCTGGGAAGTTTACCTTTGCAATGGCCGGGCCCTGAGTAGTACTAGTGATAATTTGGATGAGACTGAGATAATATGTTAAAAGTCGGCAGTCTTTCAAACTGCGGATAATACACTCTTTTGCAGCGCTTAGCGACGGTTTCTTTCGCTACTAAAACCCACAAAAGCCGTCGCAAGAAATCAAAACACCGTTGCAAGAGGTTCGCTGTCACATTTTCACTGAGAAATGTATTTTTCTTTGTGTTTTGGGGTAGACGTTTGTTTTACTTCCCCTAAAATACTATGAGCAATTTGATAACTCATGTAAAAGCCACAACAAACTTGATTGCACCAATGCAACCCAACTATATTAAAACCAACAACAATTGCTCAGTTAAGAAGCCGTAATGAAAGGCCAGCTGTGTTAGAAGTAAACTCCACATTATGTGAAAATAATTTTGATGTTTACTAATTTGATTACTGAACACAACTTGGATTTAAACGAGATTGAAAAAGCACTAGATTTAAGTACAAACCCAATTTCTAGCTTATCTATAAGCTCTTGGATATTAAGAACAAAACATAAAAATAAAGCATTCTACTACACCATATACTATATATAAGAGACTCTTGGACTTCTTAATTACTTGTCATTTCGTTTAGAATAGCTATATTTCTTTTATATGTATCTCAGTTACTTTTGATTGGTTAACACCTTTCATTACCATTCTGTGGCAACATTTCTGGAGTGCCCCCCAACAAGCAGAAAACTGGTGGAATTGTAAGGGTCTGCACTGTTCCATATGCACTCCAGCAAATTGGATTTGACACAAATTTTCCTTGGGCAGGAAGCAGTTCCACTTCAGAGAGAGTGAGATTTGTGCATGGCATGGAGTCGCTGCAAGCAAAATGCATAGGTGGGCTTCTCACATCATATGTACCTTTTATCCTTGAGTACAAAACATCTGATATGTGAACTGCAGAGGTTTGGTTAGGGCATTTCTTGGTGAGGCAATAGTACTGATCTAACAAAATCGGGTTTCGAACGGTGTCCATATGAATGTTTTGGAATGTTACTCTTGACACAGACCCTGATCCACCTTGCCAAGTTTTGATTCGAACCCCATTGTCAGAGTGCTTGATGATTGAGTCCTTAACTGTAATGTTCGAAACACATGCTCGAGAATTGCGAATTCCAAGACTTCCAATGCTACATGGGAAGAAAGAGGATTTGGGTTGAGTGAATCTTTGAGAATAATGGAACTTTAGAAACCATCCATATGTGCTTTGAAGCAGTGGATGTACCTTATTCCATGACTTGGACCACAAGTAATATTCCTAATCTCCACATTATAACAACCTGCTCCAATTGATACGCAGTCATCACCTACATGAAGTATCAATAATCAAAGAGCAAGGTAAGCTTTTGAGAGATTGCATGATGGACAACAAATTGGAAGCTTCTGTTGTGTAATTACCATTGGAGATGACTGAATTATATAGTTTCACATTGTTTGTGTTCTCTATGTGAATTCCATCTGTATTGGGACTTAGAGCAGGTGCTTTTATGTTAAGTGATTCTATGTAGACGTTTTGACAGTTATCGAACCGGAAATGAAACTGGGGGCTGTTCTTAACTTTGAGTCCTATCACACTCAGATTAGAGCTCATGAAAAATCTTATGGCCTGCAACATAAAGTTCATATGTAAACAATATTTCCACCAAAGTTGACCAATGCTTACTTCACAAGTTCTGATTTTTTTTTTTACTGTGACTTACAACTGGGCTATCACAAGGACCAGGCTGTGTTGTTCCAGTAAAACCCTGTTCCATTGCATATATATAAAAAAACATTGTGAGAAATTGGCCTAAGAGTAATAAAATAAAACCAATGGTGCTGTGAAAGAATAATAAAGATGCTTACTTTGTGCGGCTTGCAAGGAAGGTTCCACCATTTCTCTCCTCTCCCATCTATTACACCAGTTCCTTGCATTGACATTTCATTGATTCTGTAGAAAACAAGCCATTGTCTCTTGCTGTTATTTCTTGGCCATGAATCAGGTCCATCTGGTGGCATTAGTGTCCCATCAATCTTCCCCATCAACCAGCCAAAGAACACGTTAGATTTCGGTAAGACAAAAAAGTTGCCAAATTTATCTCTGTCTCTCAAAGAATTTTGTTGAAAAAGCAATGCATATTTGTGTAGATGTAACTACACAATTCTGGAAAACTCAAGAATACTCATGTTGCTAGACTATGGAGGTGGAGCATGATGGCTAAACAATAGCCACAAAAATAAATATTGTACAATATAGAAGTTTCTAGTATAAGCCACACACTTGTGGCCGGAGGAAAAAGAAGCCAAGTTGGTGGACTTGGTGATGTCGGCAAAGAATGCCTATAAATAGGCATGCAATGCAATAAAACAAGGTGGAGTCTAACAAAAAGAACTCCCAAACTATAAGGGAGCCAAGAGAGTCTAACAAAAAGAACTCCCAAACTATAAGGGAGCCCAGAGCTACCTAAAATCCTAAGCTAGAAAAGCTGGGAAACTAAGCAACAACGCTAGATATCTAGCTAATCAACTAAAGGTGGTGGGTACAACTCCCAATCCACGAGGGAGCCACATGTGAGCTACCCAACCTATGGAAGAAGCTTGAAGACGAGCTCAAGCTAGGGCCAAATAGCCCAAACTAATCTAAATCAAGTGCGGTGGCTAATAAGCCAATAAGCTAAGAAGGAAGCCAATTAGCCTACACAAAGTTATGTACTATTCTCCTCCAATGTAATAAAATCACTTCGTTCAACTATTGTCCTATTGTTTTAAACCCCTTCACACATAAACCAACAATGGTATCATAAACACTCATCACACACCTCCTAAAATTCCAACAAATTTAAATAAAGTTCCAGCCTTTAAGAGGAGACCTAGATTAATTACCTGCATTTTGAGGCAAGGTTTACATGGCCCTGTGAATATTGTAGACTGTATCATAAAGGAACCTTTAGGAACAAGAACTTCTGAATCTTCAGTTTGACAAGCCGTGTCCCAAGCCAGCTTGAATGCTTGTGTGTCATCAGTAACACCATCCCCAATGGCACCATAAGATCTTACATTGAAAATAGTGGTAGGATTGTAGCTTGGGCTAACAGCCTTTGGTGCCGGAGAAGGCGGCATTGAAATTCGAGACATCAGATTCAAACCCTTATCATGTTTAGTGTCAGTACTTTGAAGGCTGCTGTGTATCGGGGGAAAGAAGAAACAAAAAGAGGAGAAAAAAATTTGAATAACAAGTACCCAAGCAAATATCATGTTCAGCATTTTGCTTTCACTTAGTTGCATGTGGAGCAAATGGAATGAAAGAACTTTTAGCTACTTATAGAAATAAAGTGCTTCTATTGTCCTAGAGTTTATAGCCAAATTCATGCTGTTGGATTTCAAAGAGTGCAACTGGCAACAAGGATTTTGACAGGCAAATTGTCCGTGTCATCAGCCAGGCATTGTAGGGTAAAAATAGAACTGTAGAGCAAGGCACCCACGATCTTAGGAAGTTGAATGTACCATAAGAGTTAAGCTTTATACAGTATGTGACCACTTTGAGCACCAAACAACTTGCAAGAGATAACGCTACAAGTCTACAATCTTTGGGATAAGAGGCTATTGCTGCAGCAGAGTGAGTGTAAGTACGTCATTTTCATACTTAGAAATAAGTACGTCATTTTCATACTTAGAAATAAGTACGTCATTTTCATACTTAGAAATTTTTAGTGGGAAGCTACTTTTGAAGGTCAGTCCACGCCTAACACCATTCAATAATGCATGCTGTGAGACCGACCAGTTCGATTTAGAGAGAGCTTGTTTTGGCTTTTTGGGCACAATGTGAAGAAGGGTCTGCATGCGAGGAGCTATAGCCGGCCAAGAGAAGAAAAGAAAAGGTTGGGTGGATTAAAGAGATTTTTGAGTGGTATAGCATTTGAAATGATTATGTGCACCCACTTTGGACAGGAAAAGTTGTTGCTTTGGGATCTTTAAATGAATCCCATTTTGGTTTTTCCATGATTATATTCACCATTTCATCAGAAAAATGGCAGTTCGTTGTGAAACTAGAAGTTGTATAGCATGAGTCATGACAAGGGAGTTGTGTCCTTCACCCGAGGTCCTAGGTTTGATTTCCTCCTCCCCAATATTGCTTGTATCAAAAACTCTCATTTTGGTTTTGTTTGTAATAACCCATAGCCTATGCACCCTGTGGGAACCAATTAAATCAAAACCCTAGGTCAAATAATTCCTTCCCTTTGGGGATTATTTGACCTAATTGGGAATTACTGAACCTAATTGGGAGTTACTCAATTTAATTGGGGGTTACCCAATTAAATTGAGATTTGATTTGATTCCTACCACAATTAGGGATTTGACTTACCCTAATTAATCAAATCAATGCCAAGTCGGGGAGGAATAATTCCTTACCAACTACGGAATTATTCCTTTGAAACCCTAGCCTCCGAGACCACTATAAAAAGATGGTCACACACAAGGGTGAAGGTAAGTCTAAATTCCTATTGAAACTCTGCTTCTCACAAACCCTAGCCACCACTTTCTTTCTCTCTCTTACACAAGGCTCCGGCCACCACACATGGCTCCGGCCACCCGGTTTTCCTTGAAATACCCTACCTAACTTAGGCATCGAAGGGCTTTTGGCCAACACCCCCCGGGTGTGGTCCTTTTATCCCGATTTGTTTTACAGGGAGAAAGAGAAGTGGAGAAGACAAAGAAATCTTAGACGAATATTCTACTGGGACGAAATTTGCTCCCACACACCCGAGATCCTAGGTTTAATTCTCCCTCTATAATATTGCTTGTGAAAAATAAAATAAAATAAAAAAGTTGTATAGCATGATGCAAAGGCCTGAAAAAAGAAAAGCAATGATATTAGCCATTTTTGGAAGGTTTTGTTATTCCCTACATACGTATAGCTTGCAGCCAAGCATTATAGATGATGGGATTGAAAGTCTTGAAGAAGACAGAAATGAAATCATATTTCTTTTGGGATTATTATGAGGTCAGCAAAAAGCAAACTTCATGCTTTGAAGAAACTCAATCCACTGACCCACCAAACCAATAATAGCTTCTGGCTGCTGGTGAGGTCCTTTTATCTTCTTGAAGCAGACACTTCTTTATGTCGACATTCTCTCTTGAATGTCTGAATTAGGGTCACTTGGTTTAGACAATTTCAGTCCTCAAAATGTTGAGGTGAATGAGGCACATCTTTAAGTATAAAAAAGCAGCAATGAAATAAGTAAAGGAACAGGTCCTGAGCTTTGCAGAAACGCCAAGAATTTTGATTTGCTTGCAGTGCTAGCAGGCTATGGCAACCCACCCAAGGCCCACATGATTTATAAATCATGTAAATCAGCCCGTCTATTATTCTAAGAAAGTTGACCAGCCTAAGCATGGCCAATGGATACAGAAAATTGATTGGACGAATTGAACAATAATTTTTTTTTTTTAAATTCCAAAGGGCCTTATTAGTTATTTACCATCAGTTTTCCAGTCAACTGCTCTACAGTTTTTATCTTGTTGCTATCTAGGTAAAAAGTGAAAAGTAAAATTTTGATAAATCCAATTAACCATATATTCAAGAAAGTGGGAAGGGGGTTGTTCAGATTTTCAACTGATGCCGCCCATAATTTGGATAACTTCAGTTTTGGAAAAGTTTTTGTTTTCCTAATAATCAAAAAAGGAAAAGGTTTGTTCTATAACATTCATTTTCCTAAGTACAACTCCCTTGCAAATTGCAATGAACACTTTAGCACATTGCAGGATCAGATTTCGTCTAGACCTATGACCAAATTAACCGTGACAGCATCGTCAACACCGCGTATTAGAATCCTGTTGAAGAACAAATTTATTTTTAGGAAGTTCACCCATCAAACAGGACATCAGTGGCCGCGTGACATGTGTTTCGATGATCCTGTAAGCCTTCCAGCAAAATGGGGGGTCCAAATTCAACTCACCATCTCCCTGAGCAACTGCTGGGTGCAGTTGAACCTGAGAAAGTGTGATGTTTGTACATGGAACTGAGTCACTGCAAGCAAGATGCACAAGTGGGGTTTTCACATTGTATTTGCCGTGTATGTTTGTGTATGAAACGTCATAAATCATGAGGGCAGCAGTTTGACTGGGGCAGTGGTCTTTGAGGCTAGTATTGGTTGATGATAGTTTTTTACTTTGTCCATTTCTATGTTGTTGAAGTTTATTTTGGACACAGCTCCTGATCCACCTTGCCATGTTTTGATCCTAAGGCCATTATCAGATTGCTTGATCACTGTGATGTTCTTCACACAGGCTTCAGATTTGTCTCTTCCCAAACTACCAATGCTGCAAACCAAGAAGAGAATAATCATATGGGCCACTAAGTTTTAGTCTTAAATCTTAATTAATCTTTTAATTACTAGAATAGAAGCCTAATTAAATTAAGAGGTACCTTATTCCATGACTTGGACCACAAGTTACATTCATTATGTCCACATCATGCCTACCATCACCTAATGATATGCAATAATCACCTGCATAGAAGTTCATTTGTTGAGAACTAATCAGCTTTGCTTAATGGTACTTAATTAATGAAGAATTAATAAGATCTTGTAGAATTAGTTGCCAGCTGAAATTCTTGAATGGTGTATTTCCACATTGTTGGAAGCCTCTTGTGAATTCCATCGGTGTTCGGGCTATCACCCGGTGAGTTTATGTTGATGAACTCTAATCGGACATTTTGACAATCATCAAAGTAGACATGGAACTTGGGGTCGCTCTGAACATTGATTCCTTGTACTTCCAAGTTAGAGCTTTTCAAAAATCTTAGGGCCTGCACTATGAAAAGGTACAAAACAGAACATTACAACAGTTTCTTCATTCAAATGCACGCATGCAATCACTTTTCATTTTCTTCAAAAATCGAATTTCTAGTTGTGAGTATGCCTTACGTTGGGTGTATGATCACAGTCACTTCCTTTCTGCCGTTTTATTAATTGATACAGGAAAAAGATGTCAGCAACAGTCTTATAAAAATCTCAATTAAGCATTAATTAATTAACATTAGTAAAGAAAAAGCTAGCTTACTGAAGTACAGGGGAGATTCCACCACTTTTCTCCTCTTCCATCTATAAGCCCACCTCCTTGCATTGTCATGTCATGGATTCCATAGAAGTCCAGCCAATCTGATTTACTATTTCTTGATGACCATTTATTGGCTCCATTAGGAGCCACAATTCTCCCATCAAGCTTCACATTTCAGACAAGAATTCCATCAGTTTTATATATCTATGCAAAAAAAAAAAAAAAAAATTCTTCTTTTTAATTAGTAACATACATAATGTCACATAATTACCTGGAACAGTAGGTAAGATTTACAAGGCCCTTTGAATAGGATACTTTGTGTAAGGAAGGAATATTTATCAGGAACAAGAAAAACTACAGAGGATCTTTCGGCCTGGCAAGCGGCATCCCAAGCCTTACTGAATGTTTGTGTGTCATCAGTGACACCGTCCCCTGCGGCACCAAACGCCCCATACGCTGAAGACCTTGGCATCATGAGCAACCACACCAGGTGGAAGTGAATGTGGTGCTGATTTTGATGAATTATGTGATGCCGATTTTGATTTTGATTTATGTGATTCTGACTTTGATGAATGTGATGGGGGTGATTTTGGTGAATGTGGGGGTAATTCTGATTTTCTAGGTAGCTTGTGAAAGTGTACATTAGCTGCATGAACTGTATTTTGAATGGCAAGAATTATAAGAACTGACAAGACAATGAAGAGGGGAACAAAGATCTGAGAGAATTTCATACCTTTTAGCTTAAGCTTGATTTTGAATAGAACCAAAACATAAGATTTGCCTATTTATAGGAAAAGCTCCTTCAATTTTTTACTGTTCTTGAGTAACCTTTTCAATAGGTAGAAGCCAGGTTCTGTCTGTTTGGCGTCAAATGTGTAATTACTTAAATTGTATAATTAAACAGGTAATTACAATAAACTGCAGTCTACCTCGGATTTAACAGTTTCCAGTCTCTATCAATCACAGGAACGTAAACATCAAACGAGTATGGCCGTCCGGCTATACTATTTTTAAATATTAAAAAAAGGGGACCCCAGCTTTTAGGCGCCACATGTCAACACTAATCTATTAAACCAGGCAGTATAGCCGTGCGGCTGTACTATTTTTTTATTTTAAAAAAAGACCCTCTCGTGATTAGGCGCCATGTGTAAGTATAGCCGGCACATGTCAACACAAAACTATTTCAGGGAGTATAGCCGTGCGGCTGTACTAGTGCGGCTATACTA